AATGCAAAGAACTGATGATTCGGTATACAAATGCAACATCTCTGAATAATAAGATTGATGAGTTAAGGTTACAATGTGAAATATATAAACCCGATGTTATTTATGTTACAGAAACTTGGTTTAAAGCAGAATCAGATGTTAATATAATTAGTTATAATATTTTCAGAAGAGATGGAAAGACTCATGGAAGAGGTGTTTGTATTTATGTAAAACAATGTATAAATCAGTTTGAAATAAATAGTTTACAGTTAAACAATAACTTTATTGAACAAATATGGACTTGTATATGTTTTAAAAATAACAAAATGCTAATAGGATGCATTTATAGACCACCAGATATATCTCATGAGTACAATAACTTTGTTTTACTATCTATTAATGCTGCTAAAATGAGTGTTTATAAGAAAGAATACAGCGATCTTATAATTACAGGCAATTTCAACTAATAATACAATAGATTGGTCTGACAATAATTGTTCTTATTCAGCAACTGATAATGAATCTCAAACTAATAAATTTATTGAATGTCTTGAAGATTGCTTTCTGTTTCAATGTGTATGTGAGCCAACATTCTGAATAGAAAACTACAAATTAACTAATATTCTAAACATTATTACAAGCGATAAAAACAAAATTGTTTTTATAACTCAGCTATTTTAGGTAGTGTCAAACAGGATCATCATTATTAATGTCAAACAGGGCCATCATTTATTAAAATTGTTGTTATTAATGAATGATTATAAGTCTTCTAACAAACATAAGAAATCCATTAGATTATATCAAAAAAGAAACTATGAATTATTTTCTCAACATTTCAATAATGTAGATTGGGAAAATGGATTTATTAGTAAATCTATAAATGAAATGTATAATTTATTTTTGTATCATTACAATTATTCAACTAATCTGTTTATCCCAAGAATTAATTATCAAAATAGAAGGGACAGAAACAAATGGATTCCTCCTGAATTGAAACATAAAATAAAAACTAAAAACAATATATGGCTTGCTAATAAACATAATGGCTGGAATGACGAATCAGCAAAAACTCAGTATAATAAGCTAAAAATTACAATTAATAATGATATTAAGAACAATATAAAACAATTAGAAAGTTCTATAGCTAGCAAGTTTAAATCAAATCCTAAATTGCTTTATAAATATATCAATGAAAAGTGTTGGAAAGGATGGTGGCTGATTGTATCATGCAACATCTCATAAAAAATAATTTAGTTTCAAAAAAACAACATGGTTTCATGAAAAGCAAGCGCTCTACAACAAACCTATAAGAATACCTAGATATTTTAACAGATGCATTCCACAATGGAATACTGGTAGATGTATTGTGCGCGGACTTTAAAAAAGCTTTTGATGGTGTTTCGCATGATAAGTTATTATCCAAGTTATTGACTTTTGGTATTTCTGGTAAACTTCTTACATAGATAGTCTGCTTCTTAGCTAATAGAAAACAAAGAGTGGTTTTAGGTGAAAGTGTGACATATTGGGTTGATGTACTTAGTGGTGTACCAAAAGGGTCTGTTCTAGGTCCTCTCCTTTTTCTGGTATTTATAAATGATTTACTAGAAAATTTTATTAATGAATGTGGTTTATATGCTGATGATAATAAGATAATTGCGTCTATTTCTTCTCAAAATGATTCACAATTGTTTTAAAATGATATAAACAAACTTGACGAATGGTCAACAAAATGAAAATTAGGATTAAATTTCTTGATCCAGCAATTCAAAATATTTAAAGGTATTGAAATTCTTGATATTAAACAAAATCAAACAATGAACTCTATTTGCTTATCAGGTCCTGCAGCTAACATTAAAAGAGCAAAACATTGAATGAAACCTGAATTGGTCAGAAATTGTTTGAAAAGGCAATATTTTTTCAGCAATAGGGTTGTTGATGGATAGAATAGTCTACCAGCCAAAGTCCTTCACAGTTAAAAGCTTCAAATTCGAAGTTGTTCACAGTTAAAAGCTTCAAATAAACTTGCAATCGGTCGACTTAGAAGCAATAACAAGATAAAAACCATGAAAGCTTATTATTAACGCTTTTATTATTTAGAGACTGAACTAACTTGTTTATTAATTAATTTATACTGGCTGTCATAGATATTGCCTGGCGCTTTGTCTCAACAGCATTATTTAAATAAACAAACACTTTTTAAAAAAAAACTTATTTAAATTTAAATTATACATTTTAAACTCAAGTTATAAGTTTAACAAATGTACAAATATGTTTTAAATTTTTCATTAAAGCTGTAAAATAATATTTTAATAAACTTATATTAATGCATTTATAAAATTAAATTAAAATTTTGCTTATATAAAATCTTTGCTAAAAATTTTATATAAATTAATAAATTTTATAAAACCTTTAGTGCGATAATCAAACTGTATATTTAGAAATTTTTTTTTTGCTTCTTGTCTTTCATTCAACCGAATATCGATAAAATGAAACTTTTTTTTTAAAACAACTTAAACAAATTTTTTACATAAAACTAATGAAATTAACGGAAATTAACAAATAAATATTGGTCAGTTAAAAAATTTTAACTGAAATTTTCCATTATTATTATCTGTTAAAATTTTTTAACGTAACGGACGTTAATGATAACAGACAGAAATGAACGGATTTACCAGACAAAAAAATCAAACGCCCATGCGTATGAAAAACCCTATTACTTTAAACTTGAAGCAAAGATCATTATAATGTAATTTAATTCTGATAAAAAATATATGATTTAATTCAAAATTACTTTAATAAAAATATATAACTTTATTCTGATAAAAAAATATATATTTTTATTTTGATTTAAAAACATCGACTGACAAATAGCCTGACTCGCAGTGGAGTGCTGCTACATCGACCGAGGGTTTGGGATGGGGAAGCAATCATTTCATTCATCATTCTTCGTTTTTTCTTCTTCTTTTTCGAAAAAAATGGTATAGCTTAAGGTAAGCAGAAAAAGTGAGCAAATGCGTATCAAAACACGCTTTATTAAGTGTATATATATATATATATATATATATATATATATATATATATATATATATATATATATATATATATATATATATATACATTTTATTTACTTAAAACTAACTATTAAATAATCATGTTCTGAGGCTGTATTAAGAATTTGCACTAAACATATGTTAAACTTATTTTTATAACGCAAGCTCAGCAATTATTTTTTAATAAATGATATATACATTGATATAATTTTAAGAAGAGATGTTAGGAAAAATAATTTTGCTGCTTTCAGAACAAACTCGTTAATAAAATAACCAACTTTTAATAAATAAAATAGATAAATTAACATAAAATATATTTTTTAGTTGCAAATTTTTTAAAACGATTATTTAAGAAATAATCATTTTAAAAACAAATAACAAATTTTAAATCATTTATACAAATGTCGAGAAAAACAATTTGTTTCTATAAAAAAAAAAATTTAATATAATATTAAATTTAATTATTTTAATATTTAAAAAAATGAAAGAAAATAAACACTTTCCTAAAAGTAATAATAATATTTAAATAATATTTAACTTGTTTAGTGGTAATTAATATTATTGCAGTAATTTAAAAAAGTTAATTTCATTAAAAAATAAAAAAAGATGAAGATAATTTTATGACGTTAAATTCATGTTGGGCACAATTCACATTCAATTTAATTCAACCATAATGCTTTAAGTATTTTTTATTTAAAACAAGGCCTGTGTATCGGTATGTTAAATAAAGAGTAGAAAAGACCAAATAAAGTAATGCTTAAAATTATTTGTTTCTAACTTGTCTCACTTTACCCCAATGTGGGGTGACATAGAACAATATCATATATAAAAACCAATACCATGAACTTAATTCAATGTTAAAGTAATGGTTTTTGCAATAATTTTCTAAAAAAATTTAGCGGACAATAATTTTAACCCAAATTATATGGCTTTCATTGAAAAATATAAAGCAAAGCACACAAACAAAAAAATATCTATGTATGTATTTATGTATGTATATATGACTATGCAAATAATACTTTACTTTGACCACTTGACTACAACCTTTAACATTTCAAAAAAGCGCTGAATAAAAAAGGTTTGGAAACATTATAAATAAATAACTTATGTTTGTTTATCTTGATAATGATAAAAATAAACAAAATACTGATTTAAGTTTTTTTAAAGTATTAATGAAAGTTGAATATAATTTTTGTTATTAATGTTATATAAATTTTATTAATATGAAGTTTTTAAAACAAATCTTTGTTGCTTTTGTGTTTTTTTTTTTTTATATAATTTCATTTTTACGAAAATTTTTTGCTTAAAGTATCAATAAAATTTTGAAGATTTAAATATTTTTACTTTATTATGTATTTCTACATGGTATTTCTAAATGGTATTTCTACAAATAAAAGTTAAAATAAAGCATGAAATGGTTTAAAAATGAGTTAAATTTTTTTTTTTAAATATTGACTTGTGTGTATTTGATGGAAACTTACTATTTTTAAATTAATTTAAAAAAAAAAACACTATAACTCAAATTAATTGTGCGTTTTCATTAAGCAATCATTAGAATCAAGTTGTTACTTTATTTATAAGGGCTTTCTATAATATTATAAAAAATAAGTAAAGATAAACAATTATTATTATTCTCTAAAGTAATTAAAAACTTGATTCAAATAATCTTTGCATATAGTCTTATTGTTTAAGTTTTTTGAGTTTTAATTTAGTTCAATTTTTATTTTTATGTTTTAGTTTTAGTTGAGCTATTTTTATTTTTTCTTTCATTAATACTTCTAATTTTCTTTTTTTAAATTGACCTTTTTTTAAAAATTCTTTTTTTATTCTAAATTAGTTTTTCAGCGCATTTTTGAAATGTTCAAACTTTTAAAACATGTTAACAGCCGTGGTCAAACCACCAAAACAAAATTGTTTTTATGCATAAAAAATCTAAAAAACAATGACAAAAAACATACTTAAAAAACTTACTTTATCTTCTTCAGACCCGACATCTTCAGAAGAGCCTAAACAATTTTTCAAAGATCTTTTTTAAATTTGTTAGTAAAATACTTTTTACCTATTTATCTCAACTATTACTTACTAATAATTACTTTATCTTTTTTATTAGAATTTTTTTTTAATTTTCACTATTATAATATATTGTATTGTATATTTATTCAGTCATCAAAATTATTTACAAATTTATTGAAATTATGCACAGTAAAAACAGTTTGTGGTAAGAATTGATCTAAAATGCATATTCTAACATATGCAAATATAGCTGTGTCAGCCAAATTGAAATAGGTGAATAAACTGTACTACTTAAGTCCACATTAAAAACAGTTGAGTGATGGTGCAATTTGTGTGGTAGTTATAAGGAATTCCACCCTTTAACTACTCGATTAGTAAAAAAGTTATTTTTTCACTAATCAAGTCTTTCATAATGTTTCAAATTTTTTTTCAACTGCTAGTTCAAATAGTAAACGACCTGGATTGATATTTGACCGGGGCTGAGGCCAGGTTTGATAAAATGTAGAAGGAGCCAAGTTTGTAACCGGGACTGCATAAATATTTATACATCCTAAAGTACATTTTTTTTCTTCAAAATTTATGTTTGATTTTGTATATATGCATTTATAAACATCATTATGATCAATATGATCATTATCATCATCATCATGATCATGATCATCATCATCATCATCATCATCATCATAATCATGATCATCATGATAATCATCATCATGACCATCGTCATCATAGTCATTATTTTATTATTATTAACATTATTATTATTATTATTACTATAATTATCATCATCATCATCATCATCGCCATCATCATTATCATCATTTTCATTATCATCATTGTCATTATCATCATTTGATGATGATGACATCCTTAGGCTTTAGCCTTCCTTTTTTATACTGTTTCTCTAATCATAGTCAATGCTCAAATGAGCTATCATCTCAATTACAAATTCATTTTTTCTTGACTTCTTATTCAACAAATTGCATACTTTTACTGTATCTGTCCCTATTTATTAAATACTAGCATAAATATGTGCCAGAATTTAATAAATAGTAAATGCAAGTATAAAATTATAATATGTAAAGAAATATAAATTCATTTCTAGCCCCGGCTATCAACCCCTGCTAAATCTTATAATTTTGCCATGGCTGGGGCCGGATTTGCAAAAAGTCTCTTTTTTAGACAGGGCCAGGGCCCCGGTCACTTATTAATTTTGAAGGCATGGCTCCTTATTCTTAAACTATACTTAAATCTTTGATACGTTGGTGTGGTTTGTGGCGCCACAAAATTGATTGAATCATTTCCATTAATTATTCTGTAATGTTGTATAAGGTCTTAACCATGCGGCAGTTTTCAAGGGTAGTCAAATAAGGTGACTTAATGACTTTTATTGACTCCATTTTGCAGTTCGATGTTAAATTTTTTTGATTGTATCTCCTATGAAATGAGGAGACCACGCTGAGACAGCAAATTCTAAAAATGGTCGGTTATAAGTAGTATATAGGAAATGCTAAAGAGTTAAACCAGGACTTCTAAATTTTTTTTTAAATTTCCCTAGCACTCTATTTCCAGCTGTGTGCTCAGCTTGTAACTTTACTTTAAGATTATTAGGTATTATAACCCCTAATTTGCATTCTTTTGCTGTGGTTTCAAGTTTTTTGTGATGACCATTTTGTGATTCCATTGGTTTGGCTCAACTTTGCATTTTTCAATATTAAATGGCATAAGCCATTTTCTAGATCATTTAACAACTTTGTCAAAATCTTTTTGAAAACATAATCCATCTTTTTCAGACTTGATAATACCTATGATCTTGTTGCCATCTGCATACATTTTTATGACTCAAAATGAAGTCCGGTAAATTGTTAATATAAAGCACAAAAAAAGGAGCGGTCCTAAAACTGAACTCTAACGTACTCCACTAAACACTTTTCTCCATAGCGATAATGTATTATCTATTTTGATACATTGTTCTCTATATATCAACCAATTTTTTATCCAGTTATTTAGTTGACGGTGAATGACATATGCTTTCAGTTTATATTAGAGTTTTTCGTGTAATACCTTACCGAGCGCTTTTAAAAAGTTTGTATAAATTATGTGTGCTGTAAAACCCTGATTGATAGCATCTATAACACGTATGCTGAGTCCTAAAAAGGACTCTAGATTTGCATGTCATAAGAAGATACTTTTTTCAAGTTTGTGGTAGTCACGAGTTTTAAAAATATAAAAAAAACTTATGGGCTACTAATAGGGAAAAAATCAAGACTTATAGGTCAGAAGTACAATCAATTTTTGAACCCAGAGTCCTTAAGTATAATAACGGCATGGGCTATGGGACTCCAGGACTCCGGGCTTAAACACAATAAGTTTATAAGCCCGCTTTTTTTCTTATAACAGATCATTAATCAACCAACCTGTTTAAAGCTTCTGGACACCTGAGACTGTAAAAAAATAAAGCCAGAGTCCTTTTACCCACTGTGTTTGACAAAGCCATGCTGAGAAATATTATAAAATATAGGGTTAGTAGGTTAAAAGCGTAGGTACTTTTGGGGAGGTAGATAGTACTCAAAATAAGCGTATGACAAATTGTGGGGGGATGGGGTGTTGCGATAAAAAAGCGTATGTACTTTATGGACAACCCCTGACTGCACTAAAACTGTTGCTACATGGGCTCCTACATCATTGTTACAATGTTTTACAACTTTTATTTAAAACACTCTTAAAAAACTTAAAAACCTTCTGAGGTTATATGTGCAATTAATGTTCATTAATCATATAAGATTTTGACCACAGTTATTTGTATGCTTTGACAACTTGAGTGTTTTAAAAATGCGCTGAAAAACTAAACTAAATTGAAAAGAAAATTTAAAATAAACAAAAAGGAAACAAAATAAATAGCAAAAAAATAAAAGCATAAATTTCAAACCAAACAATTTATTTTTATTAAAAAGCATCTCAATTAATAACTCAAAGCTAATAATTTTTCACACCACTATGTTAGTATAGCAATTAGGATTATTTAATGTTAAATATTCCAGGTGAGAGTATACAGAAAATATCAACTTTTCACATTTTTAAATGAAAGTAATTAAGCTTAGATTAAATAACTTTAAAGCTATTTTTTCTAAATCTATGAAAAAGACATTAACTTTTACTTTTGTTTTTTTTGCATTTATTTTTCCTAATATTTCTTTTGTTTATTTTATCATTTAGCAAAATTTTTATTTTTTTGTTCATTTTTTTAGTTATTATTATCGCATGTCTTTATATGACCACGCAAAAAAAAATATGTTTTAACGATTTGAACACAGCTTTTGACATATTTTTTTAATTTAAAAATGTGCTACTAAAACTTACCTAAACTTATCTTTGAGAAAAAAAAATCTTAAGAGAAAGAATAAATAAAAAATACTTGGTTAAAGCAAAAACACAAAAAAATAAATATATTTATAACCCAACTAAAACATAAATCATCGAATTAAAATGCTTAGTCTATTTCATTTACACATTAAGAAACTATTTCAATCTTTGTTTTCAACATTTGTACTTTTTTTATTTAATTTTTATGTTTCCAAAGATAAATATTTTTTATAAAAGATACATAATTACATAAATAAAAAAAATAACAGCTTATTATTACTTATTTTAAAAAAATTATTAGAAATGTTTTGTTACTTCATTAAAAAGCGTTTCGTTAATATAAAAGCATTTAAGATCAAACTTAATTAATTGTAAAACTGTTTTTTTCAAAAAAATTTTGTTTATCTTTTTAAATGTATTAACTTTACTTATTCTTATATTAAATTTTGTTAAAGAGATTTTCATAGTTGTAGAATGTCATTGTTTATAAAAACAAAACAATTTTTTATTTTTTAATAACGTTTATTACAGAAATGCACACTTAAACAATTTATATATTTTAAATTAAAAATATATATACACAACTGTCAATTATATTAAAAAAACAAAAAGATTATCAGTAAATTGTTTCTTTATTTAAAAGCATTTTGCTATTATAAAAATATTTGTTAAAACGTTTTGATGTAATAAATTTCACTTTTTCAGAATATTTTTTATTTAGCATGTTTTTAAAATGTTTTTATAAAACATGCAAAATACATTTTTTAAATGTAATTTGCCTGGTCACATAAAGACGTGCAATCATACACCTTCCTGTAAAAACCTAAGTAAAACTATTCTCAAGTCTGATAAACAAATTAAATTTGTTTTGAATAAGAATCGTAATCATCGCATATCTACATTTTTCATTTTAAATAAAGAATGCTATGATGATTGATACTGACCTTTTAATACTGCATATGTATATAAAAGTAATTAGTAATGGTTTATAAAAAACAACTAAATTTCAGACTTCATAAGACCTTGGTAAACAAATTGTTATTTATTTTCTGTATGGTCTATTACTGCATAGAAATCTTAGGTGTTTCAGTTTATTTTTGAGATGTAGAGATGTACCATAAATTTTAATTGTCTTTTTCGTAACTAAACTCTGGCCAGAGAAAAAAAATTTAGTTTTAGAGCGTTTTGTTAGATAAAAATAATCTTGCATTGTGTTTTAATTTTTTTGCTTATTCCTTAATTCTAAAAAGACTTTAAAGAGAAGAAAGGAATAACACTAATGTATATAATTTATGTTGTTCTAACTTGGTAGTTTACATTCTTTTAAATATTTAACTTGAGATGTTTCGAGTATAGATATTGTACAAATACAGAAATCATAAATCATTTAAGCTAGGTACAATTTTTTTATACAAAGTTCAAAACTAATTCATTTTTTAAAATATTTTTATAAAATTTCAAATTCTTTAATTAAAAGGAACACATAGAAAAGTACTGCAGATGTGTTTAGACTAAGGGCATATGAACACAGTTGGTGAAATCAAATTTTAAAATCGAATGCTGTTCCAGGCCTTGTTATGATATTTTATTGCATAATGAAAACGTGTAACAATAATAAATGTAACTTTAA